CTGACAAATCTTTCCTGCTTTAATGCATATCTGTGCTGAAAACCTGGGGTGATGCTCCAGAGGAAAGCTAGCCTGTGAATATAAATTGAAGTGCTTGTCTGTGACCCTTACAGAAAATCTGTATCAGTCTGCCTAAGAATACACCTTATTTTGTGGAGGCTAATTATGCAAATACATTTGCTATTTACATATTTCACAGGTGTTAGTGAACTTGGCTTTTTGGTTCTTTTCCAATTTTTTAAAATCTCTGGCACAAAAAAAATACATTGCATAAAACAGCAGATAGATTTGAAAAGGACTTGAGAAACTCAAAATATTGTGGTCAGAGAAGAAAATAACATGGGAGATTTTGAAGAAAGTAACCTTTGTCCTTTTAGCTAAAGGTGAAACTCTAATTGTTCAGATTTCACTTTTAATGAGAGCTTATCACTGGTTTATCTCATTCTTCCTACTGGCATTTCTGTGTCACATCACCAGCCTTGGCTACCACAGTAACAGAAGGAAAAATGTAACCCAATCAGTGTAAAAAATGTTTTATTTTACCTCTTTCTTTAGAAGAATATAACCTCAAATTTCTATTATAACTAGAGAAATATTATGACATTATTATTCCCAATATCTTTGTGACTCCTAGTTGACTAATGTCTGCCTACAGGGGTGTCTGAACAAAGTTTTTTGTAACTGTGAATCTACAATAAACAGAGTTCAATATAAAATATAAGAGAGGATAAGGATAATTTATAAGAGCTAAAATTTAAAATTTAGGTGAAGGAGGTCTCCTAATGATAACTCCAGGGCTCCAGTTACAGCTGTAACAAGCTGCTGCATATGAAGTCATAATTTTTTCATTAATAGGAAATTCCTGATCAGATATTCAATTTTCTACTTTCTGTACCTAACCTGGTAATCAAGAGAGTCACACTGTCTCCTACAATCTAACAGTCTTCATAAGGAGAAAGGCATTAAAGGTTTTGCTTTAAATTAATAGTGGGACAGAAAAGAGGAAAAAGTATCCAGCTGAGAAAATTATGTCACAGCAGAAAGTTAAGTAGGTATCCCTCACCATGGAGAAGAAATAAGAACAGAGGAGGGGAGAGAGTGAAAAAAAACACCCAAAGCCCAAAATGAAAAAGCAAAAATAAACCCCAAAAACACACAGTAAAGAAAGGAAACATAAACCAGTTTCCCATATTTTGCTTTTAAGCAGTTGTTTTAGATGATGTGGTAGTTCTCCTCAGTGTTTGGAAACCCCTCATGTTCCTTTCTTATCTACTTGGAGCTTTGAGCTTAGGTGAGAAGTGACAGCAGAGGCTGGTGACAGTTAAGAAGGAAGAGCTGACAGGTAACAGCTAAGTGATAACAAACAATTTTCAAAGGTACTATGACTTCCAAAAGAGCACTCTGTTTTTGTACTAAAGCATTGTTTGCTTGCCTCTATGAAACTATTTCCTGCGCAGAAGCAGTAGTGCTTTGTAAATCATATGCAACCATTGCAAACTGAAATCTTCCCATCACACAGGGTCTTGTAGGTTCTTCATGCTCCTTAGGTAGAAAAACATTCCTTGTAGAATGAAAATCATAACTTTCTCATTGATACTTTCTGCTTGAAACCTCGTTCCTGCCATCATTAGGAAGGAATACACTGGTCTAGTTCTTGCTCTGCTTTGAGTTGTGTTGCTTGTACTTCTCACAGAATTCATAACTTGCTTCACTCCCTCTCTGATTGGGAAGCAGGAGGTTTTTATAAGGTCCTGGTGAGTGCTGACTGTGGGGAAACCCTATGATAAAAGGCTCTGTAGAAATTCAGAGCTATAGAAGTACAAAAATGAACTGTTTAGTAACAGTCTTACAGTGAGAGAAACAAAAAATTTTGCACAATCTTTCTTTCTGAATTTTGCAGGTCATGACTGTTCACTTCTCTGTCCTATTTTTAGAAAATGAAGATGAAAAGAAGGTCTTGCCAGGAGATAAGCCAAACTTACTTTGAGATAAGAAATACTTAAAAAAACCAAGTAACTGAACTTTTCCTGTGCACTTTTAGGGTATGTTCTTCCCAAAGATAACCAACCTGACATTGCCATATGGCAGGAAACAGTGTTGTCTTGAAACTCTGCCTCCTATATACTCAAATTAGATGACAATTACTTGACTCAGTAATGGATTTCCTTCCTGTTGTTTCCATTTTCAGGAAACAGGACAATCACATGGTGCTAAGGCTTGACAAATTGAATTTGCTAAAATGTGTGCTTATGGCATTCAAGAAACAAAAGCGTCAGGGAGAATAGGGATCTTTGGAGGGAGCTATTTATAAATAAGGGATATGAATGAATGTACACAAGATCTGGTTGGGAACTGTGGAATCAAATCTAAGAGAAAATGTTGAGAGCATAATGGTGGAAGAAGATAAGAAACTGAAGCTTCCAGGATTAACTGGAGTGTGGGACACTACTGGAAATCTAGGATAAGGTTACTACAGTCTTGCTTTTCATCCCTCACTTTCTTGTTTTGGGCCTAGCAGCTTCACAGTTTTTAATTCTTTGTGTTTCTCGACAGCTGGCAGAAAACATCTCACATACAGTTTTCCAGCTGCCTTTTGGACAGAACTCAAATGCAATTATACCATTTAAACACAGGCTTTAGTATAACTCCAAACCCCATGTTAGAAGTTCTTCCTGTGGTGGAGCATACACTCCTTTACACAGTAGATTATATAAGTAAAAGATAAGAGTTCATATTGGTCAAAGAGATGCTCAGAAAACTTGAAGAAAGCACCCATGAATATTGAATGGTGTAATATATCTTGTAATGAAGTATATAATCTTCTGGGGGGGTAGGTGTGTCTTTGTAATTGACATCAGGTCTGTATTTCCACAGTTTTATGAAGGGCACATGTTGATCAAGCCTATTTTGGTGATTAGAATGAAAGAAAATGCTATATAAGTATATATATCGTATATCCATATGGCATTTGTAATATTTTCTTAATTGTCTTGCAGAGATGCTTGTTGCAATGCAGGAAGTCTGCACTCTTGGCCTGGTGACTTTAACTACAGAAGATGGTTCGGACCGCTTAGTGGAAAGATTTTTGTTAAACTAAATCACTTCTAAAAGCTATTGATATGGGAAATGGTTATTTGCAAAAGGTTTTCTGTTTGTTAGAGCTCTATACAAAGCCAAGAGTTTTTTTTTCAGGTGATGAACTAGATAAAATCCTTTCTAAGTATGGAATGGATTCTTTTCCTTTTAATTTATTATATACCAAATTCTACCACTTTGGGGAATAACATTTCAGTTCAAGCAAATTTTTATTTATGTATTAGTGTAGCTCTTAATGCACAAGAGAAAGTGAAGGAGGGGAAATGCCTGAAAACTATTTCCAATCTTTGCCCAAAAATAGTCCTACTTCTTTCAAACCTGTTTGGCCTACTCCATACAGTATCCTGATCCATACTTCAATGAGTTTTAAAACTTACAAAATTACAGTCTCTTTTTGTAGAGTCTTTTTGCAAGTCTTGGGAATACCAGCCACCATGGACTACATGGTGTTTGTAAATATACTGGAAAGCTCATTTTCTCTACTGAACAGTTTATAATTGAAGATTAAATATTTTTTTACAGGGGTCTAAGTAACTTCTCAAATTCATATTTATGGTGAATAAGATACCTGGTATTCCTCAAAAGAGCCAGCAATTTATTTAAGTACATAGAGTTAAATTTGGGATCTTAAAAGGAAAAAAAAAAAAAAAAAAAGTCTGGATTATGGAAGTGTGAGTTTTAGAGTGACAATCTATGATGAAATGTCTTCCACTATTAGGATCAGTGTGGCAGAAGATGGTGGCACTGGCCACAGTGGCAAAGAACTGAGGAATATGAAATGCAGCTTTGAGACTAGATCAGGATTTACTTGGAGTTGATGTAAAACGAACTCTGGTGTTCCTCCAGCATATCCATTCTTATGGGGACTGGGAATACCAAAGCCAAAGAGGAGATGCTGGTGCTGTAACTAATGTATAGGACTAATGTATAGGCCAAGGCAAGTAAGAACAGTATGAACCCAGTGTTGGGGACAAGAATGTATTTCCTTCAGTCTATCGCTTTGCATGCTGAAGAAATGTGAACATTCCAGGTCTCTGGGCCCAACTAATATTAATGGGCTGGTCTGAATCAGCTCCAGTATTTTAGGTGTAATTCATAGCATATTTGGATCTATAGGTTCAAGTATTTTACAAAATGAATTGAAAGGCACCATGTGCAAGTAATGGCAGTGGTGAAGTTTTGAGAAAAAAAGTAAATTATTTTTAAGAATTTATCTTAATAAGTGCAAAGGCTGCAGACATTTTAGACCTATAATTTTAGCTAAAATGTTCTTTATAAAAAGAAGTAAATAAGTCTAAGCCCTTTTATTCTTGTTGTCAAAAATATGGTATATATTTCCAAAAAAATGAGAAATTAAATCAAGATGAGCATCTCAATGGCTCAGTACTGTTTTGTACAGGTCTTCAAATAGTACTTTATGCTATGGCTTACTTTTTAACTACCAAGGATAAACTGAAAACTTGTCAAAGACATTTTTATGAAAACAAATACATTTGAAATTACTTTTAAAAATGTCACTTTGAAGTGAAAGTAGGTGAAACTCTTTTTTTCATTGATAATTTCACATCTTTCTATTGGTTGATTATGAAGGAAAAAACCACAGTAAAATGTGGTGGTACAAATATTGTGCTTCACCAAGGATTTAACAGTCAAAATGGGGAGATCAAAAATATAAGGAAAAAACACCTATGAAAGTCAAGTATGAGAATCTTGGCAAGATCTATGAAAATATATGTGCACAATTTTCGAAACATTGACAATGGCCTCTATTTACTGGAAAGAAGTGTAGTTTCTTTCTTTAAATTACGAAAGATAAGTACAGAAAATTATGTCAACAGTGACATGTTCAGCGGCAAAATTTTAAGTACTAAACGGTCAGCAGGGTCAAGAGAGCTTTCACTTACGCCTACTTTCATAAATGGCTCTTGATTTCTCATACAGCTCATATGGGTCAGGTTTTCGTGGATCAAAGGCCTCTGTTGAATCAGGAAATGAACTCCTGTGAAGAGTGGGTGGATAGGGAATATTCTGTGGCATAGCTGGAGCAGACACGCTTGTTTGAGGGCTGCCTTGATTCTCCCATCGTTCCATCATCTGGAATAAAAACATACAGAGAATAACAATGAAGTTTTGCAAAAACTGTGGCTTCCGCAATGAGACCAAAGACAGCGATTTCTGCTGAAGATACGTTTTGCAAAATTAGTAAATCTATTTGCTGCCTTTTGAAATGAAAGGTGTGTGTTTTGGTATTTATAAAATGACTTAGCTAAATTTACTTAGTTTGTTGCTTATGTCAAGATGTGGCCTTTCTCAGGTTAGATTAAGCCCAGCATTACCTCTGAAGCATGTGGAGGGCTTCTCACAGAATGTGCTGAGCTACTGGAAATTATTTGCTAAAGGTGGAATCTGTGGGTTAGTAAAGACACAAGTATCAAATTCATCAAAATACATAACATTCATAAGGTAGTGCTTAAAAGAGAAGGGACAGACTGTGCAGCAAGTGAATGACCTTAACACTGTATCTTCTGAGAATACATGGAAATAACTAGCTTCCCAGGGAGAAGTAGATAACTGTAAATGGGAGCAGAATTTACAGCTCCAACTGAAGATTTAAAAAACCAAAATCAAAACCAAAAGAAAATCAAAATAAATCAAAACCAAAGAGAAAATTATTATATCACATATTCGAGCATCTAGTGTTCAATAAACCCACTAAAGTGATGTTATACAACCAAGTTTCTAAGCACAGGATAAGGCTCTTCCAGGCCATTTACAGGAAAGCAGACTACAGCAGTCTATTGTCTATGCATGAAAGACACCTCAGTTCACACTTTTCAAGACTGTAGCAGCTTTACATGTTCATCAAGCTTGAAGATATGATAGGCTGTGCAAAAGAAGGCTTGAGGATCAGCATTTTTTTTTAAGAAGTTGGCTACTAATCAAATTGCATTAGCAAATTTCTTTGAAGAGGCTAAATTAAACAAAGCACAAATGTTTATCCCAGGAGATGAGTACTTGGATATTCCTATAACCCCTCCTGAGGACAAGGGTGGTAAAGCCTCCAGAACAGTATGTTCTCACATATAACCCAAAAATGGTAATTACATAAAAAATGTCTCTTGGAAGCAATCTGATCTGTAATTAAATTCCACTGACTTCTATTGTTGTATCAGCCAAGCCTTATCAAAGATGATTGAAGGTTTACAGTGAGCTTGCTCTACAAATTCTGTGACTATCATTTATCTTTTTTACCTTGGTTTCAGAAGGTGTTTGTGTCAGCAGATAGCCTTTACTCTCCCTTCTGAGGATTAACTGCATCAGGCTTTTTTCACACCAAGTATGTATGGACTACAGATGTTTTAGTGTCCTCCTGGTGTATATGATGAATATCCTCCTGCATATCCCAGATGAACTGGCCTTCTTAGGCTCATACTTAAGAATAAACAGATTATAGATATTGGCCTTTTTTACTTGTTGAGGACCTCATTCTTTTACAAAGTATTATTACAATTCAAGCTGTGTTTCTGTCAGAATTTCAGCAGTAAGTAGGGCTGGTTCATTCAAAACTATAAATATGTACATTCTGTGCAATACAGGGCATATGGAAATACCTGAGCTGCCATTGAAATAGCTTAGGTACAGGAATGTACTTTGGGTACCTTCAGGTAACCTTTACACCAAGACAAATTTGTCCTCTGCAAATAATTGCCCTTTGGGTAAATTAGCCTGTGTGTTATGTCACATGAATAACACAATACTACTTCTGACAGCCCTAAAGAAATTATCTCCAGTAGCTATAAACACATACAATATATAATTACACTATGGAAGTGTAAATTCAAAGGTCTCTAGAAACACTCCTGATTATGACCCCTTTGTCTAAATATGAAAGAACTAATCTCAATTCAAGCTCCTTATGATAAAGGAAATTACCAGAAAAATATGTTTAGGCTTTACCTTCCCTTAGGAATATAAAAGAAGAACATAAGCCAGTGAAACCAAACTATCTATCTTATCATTATGAAGATGAAAGACATGCAGGGACATATCTGTCTAGAAGTGAAAGATTCCTAATTTCTTGGAAAGTGCTGGGGAAATAGATCACTTACCTCTTTCAAAATGCGAAACTGGACAAAATTAAAATACTTAAAGATTTAAAAAAAGAAAGGAGAAGATAATCATCTTTGATGAGCAAACTTTACCCTGGAGAAAGGACAGGAAACTGGAGATCAATTGGCAAAACCCTACTGGGTCCCATATGTCTAATTCTTGCTTGCTGGTTAGCTCTAAATCTTCAAGTGTGAAGTTCAACCAGCTAAATAAGCAGATAAACAGAAGGGGAATTATATCTCCCAAACCCATATCAACTAATTAAGAAGTCACCTAGCATTCAGTAATGGAAGTTACTATAATGCTACTTCAGAAAAGAAGGAATTAATGAAAGTGAGTAAGCACAGTAGTGACTGCAGGGCATCAAATCTAAATTGGGGCAATGCTCTGGTGACACTGCTCATGGTCATTTTGCACTAATATTATACATGATATACATATATAATATATCCACTGTATACACAGGGACCACTGGAAATATCTGTTATCCCAGGTTACCCTGTTTTCCTTTGCTGTTACACAGATACAGGCTGTGCTGTGGTGTTTAGGAGGCTTTCTAAATCTCTTCTGCTGGCCTTACTGCTTCAGACTGTCTGTAGACAGTGCTGCAGGCACTTGGTTTTAATCTTATCTTCAGGCCTTAGACACAAGAAATTTATGTCTGACTGTTTCTGTAGTTAAAAGTGGTGACAGACAGAGGAATTCACACTACCTTAACTCGGTTAATCATTTGTGAAATTTCTTGCTGAGATTACCCCAAGATAGAGTAGCTGTGAGCAGTCAGCCTGCCTGCAGGTAGAGCACACAATGATATTCTGGTATTCTGTGAACCCTGGTTTCCTCACCATTGCATGAAAAACTGCATCAACTCAGGTTGTTTTCTAGATTACAATTATTGGCAAGTGCTGCTTAAGCATGAACTACCATACTGCTTATATCATGAAATGTTGCAGAAAATCATCAACAACAAATATGCTGATATTTATATATTTGATGTGTACATGAAAAGGCTAAGTATGAACAGGAGGAGTTCTTCAAATGTGGATCTTTAACAAGTGAGCTCCAAGCTATCTATTTCCCCACTTTTTATCTGAGATTAAAGGTTGAACACCCCAGCCATTCAGGAGTCTTAAACTGGTGAGAGCAAGCCAGCCTTTAATAATCTATTTTCAAAAATTTCCTGCTTCACAGATGAACAAAGCAACTTATGCAATACTTAGTCCCATATATTGTATACAGACTCTGTCCTTTTATAGCAAAACCACCATAAACTGAAGCAGTCTGACAAAGTTGCATCAGCTGATTGCTATTTGTACTTGACAGGATTATTATTATTTTGACAAAACTTAAGCATGCCATATTCCAGTATGAGAGTATGTAAAGTTGTTCAGATTTAACATACTTCCCCTGCCTGCTCCCCAATAAGAAGGCTCTAAGTCCTTTAAAAGGTATTGCTATTGTTATTCCCACTGCTCTTAGGAGTTTTCAGTATCTATTTTCCTCTACACACACTTGATGAGGATTAAGGATTGCTCTAAGGTCTGTAAAATCCCAATAAAAAGCCAAATTAAAAAAAAAAAACAACAAAAAGTAAACAACCCCCTACAGTAATAAAACAAACCAGACAACCAAAAATAGCAGCCTACAAATCCTTTTCATACTGTGAATGCTATAAAAATTCAAGAAATTATATAATGTGGTGTCAACAGATTAAATACAGTCATTGCTTACAGTCTTACAGTAGGAAAAGTCTTTACACCTTGGGTTTTATGGTCAAAATCATAGAAACACAGAAAAGTTGATTAAAAAGCACCTCAGTTATCGAGCCCAAGCTCTTACTTGAAATGTGACTATTTGCAGCTCTCGATCTCCTAATGCAAGAAAGAAAACAATCTCTTTGAGGATGTTAAACTCAAGCCACTTGTAAACCAGAAAAAGTGCACGTTGTTGATTTCAAAGAATTTGCCAACTAGAAGACTAGACTGTCCTCATTTCTGCTTCCTTCTCCTCCAGACCTCTTATTTTAAAGCCACGTCATTTCCGGTTCTTGCCACCCATCTTAACATTAAGGTTTTACTTTTTCCAGACCACTTCTGGCAGACTCCAAGTCAACAGACCTTTAAAGCTTATCAGGGAGGCCACCCCTGGTGCTGCATCACTTGGAACTGGGGCACTGCTGAGAGGTGTCCCATGAGCTGGGAACAGGACGGGTAGCTGAAAGTCTACAGAAATTTGCTCTGCATGATAGTCATCTTATGAACTCAATGTGTACAATTTTGAAAGGGAACTTACAGGCTTTGGAGTTTTCCATGGAGAAAAGAAACCTGAAATAAACAAAAGATAATGTTAGCAGCTTTTTCTGATGCATAAAGAATGGAGGCTAAGTGGTGTCTATGCTCCCATTCTCATTCAGGTCTGCAGATAATATTGATAGATATGAAAATTCTCTACACACAAGGGGTGAAAACACAAAACATGAGGGATAATTTCTAAGAAAAAATAGACAGAAATATATATACATATACATATACATATACATATACATATACATATACATATACATATACATATACATATATATATGCAAGTGGAGCTATTGAGATCATTGCCATACTTTACAAACAGCATGGGATTAGGTTGAAATTAAAAGAACTAATCAAAAGGACTTCCAAATGTCTTGGTGGACATTGGATAAGACACCAAATGACCTGGTATTGATGTGTCAAATGCAGTCGCACCTTTAGGAAGAAGCATTCAGAACATCCCATCAACAAAACCTAATAATACAAGAGATTTTTTTAGAAGAAAAGCCTGAAGAAAAATAACTGTTTCATTAGTCTAAACAAGGTGGCCAAGTCTCGAGAGGATTGTTTATTTTGATACTGTCCTGGTTTTTGGTCTTAGTTAGCAAGAAGTCATACATGACTACCTCTTTTACACAAGTAGTTATCTCCTTTTCCTTAGTTATTGACTGATAACTTGCTTCAGTGACTTTCCTAAATTTCAGTTCTTGTAGCTTACAACTGTTTAAAACTCCAGATATGTCTTTTTCATAAAAGGAAATAATTGCAAACACTGTTCCTATCTTATGCAGTACAATGTTAAATACCTTTACAAAGTATTAAATAATAAAAAAGCCTTACAATGGGTATTGGGTCACATTTTTTAAAATACCAGCTTTCAACACAGCTTTCATTAAAAAAAACTCATTCTCAGGTTAATAGCAGGTTAAAAAAAAGTCAGTGGACTTTCCTAAGTAAGATTAAAAGCTAATAACAAAGAGTTCATTTGTTTTGTCAGATAGAGAAATGGGCTTAAACAGAGATATCTAATAGGAGGGCTGCTCTTTCATTCAAGAAATGAATTCAGCTGAAAGAGTAGTACTAATTCATTATTTTTTTCTGAAGTGACTCTAAAAAGAAACCTAAAATTATGAGAAAATTAGCATAGTATCTTTCAACAGAAAAATCACAACAGGAATTATATTTGCACATATATTTAAGATTTTTAGAATTCTGTGATAATGAGATAATCTTTTCTGCCCTGATACCTAATTAATTTCAACTGAAATATCTTGCAGTGTAAAAGCACTTGAGCCATTTGTAGTGAAACACTGGCTATTCAGTAATGCTGATGTGCTTTTTTTTAAGAAAGTCTATTGAAAAAAGTAATCCTGGAAAGATTTATGTTTACTGAGTCTACAATGCCTGGATAAAAACTGCTTTATTAACAAGTGGACAGATTTCTTTCCTACTGCAAACTCAAGCTGAGATAACAGGCATCCTTGATAGGTCTGGCCTGTAGATCACTTTCAGTATTAAAGATTCTGTAGCAGAATTTAAGTAAGTTTAATAACTTACTGGATAGCAGATGGCTACCTTTTTATTACCAGCTATGTTTCTCTACTGCTAATAAGAGTGAAAACTAAAAAGGACTTTTCTTCTCTGAGGTAAAGATAACACTAGAAACTTGCTCAAATCAACTTACTACCCTGATTTGTTGTTCAGAAAATATTGGTAGAGGTAACACTCCTTACCCATTCATACTGGTGCACCTCCCATAACTTACTGTCATCAAAAATTACTCTTGATTAAACGGAAAGGTCTTTTTTTTCCCTATTTATTTACTGTCTCCACCTAAGAATAAGTTATGCTGGAGACATCATAACAATTTTACTATCAATTAAAAATATAACAAGTATTTAAAAATCAAATAAACAATGACATATATATCAAGTCAAGATTTTTTTTAAAAAGCCCCTCAATTAAAAAAAAAAATCAATTATTCGCTTAAAGAAAGAGAATATAAACTTATATTTATCTTGGAGGTTATGGGCACAGACTGCAACATACAAATGACAACATCTACACTCAAAACAAATAGAAGGCCATATTTATTCACACAGCATGAAATTATGTTAAGAAAACTAACAGATATAGGATGCCAGAGAGGTAAAAGTTCCAAAGGAAAATAAAAAAAATAAAAACTGGAGATCCATATGTGTACAAAAGGATGCTATAGAAGCAACAATCTCTAAAGCTAACAAACCTTGGGACTAATAGTAAAATCAATTATTCTGATTTAATTTTGTCTGTTACACCTTGACCTCATGTAAGATGAAATAATCTCTCACCTCTGTCAAAGACTAGGTGCTAGGCTAAAGGGGTGAAGGCCTAGTTCCATAAAGCAAACTTTCCACTACATATTTTACACATTTCTTGAGAATTTTAATGTTGTCTCACATAGGATATACACTCACAGCTGAACTAAACATCCTTTTCCAACCTAAATAAAACTGACTTTATAGAATATATGGCATTATCAGTTATTTAATATGAGACTGATCATGGATAAATGTTGAGTACCAAACATCCAGAATTATCACTGGTATTTAAAGTCGTGCAACAAATGCTTCAAATTCAAGAACTCAAGAGAATATTGCATATGTAGCATACTGCAAGCGTAAAAGAAACTTCACATGAAGAGACATAAAAGCAAAATGCACTTTCTTTGGCATGTTGCACCCCATCTTCATATTTCACTTTAAAATAGTACTCTGCATGAGTACAGGAGTAAATCCTACACGTGTAGAAAACTGAGGCTTAAAATCTCACCTGAAGAATATACCTTAATAATGTATATTCAGTGTCCACTCAACAGTGTTGGCCATCTGCAGTCACATGTACAGCAGGCAATGAGAAGTGGTCTTTCATTTAGTTTGACCTCACTTCACACCACTCTTTCCCTTGACTCGTGTTCCTTACATGCCATGTGAGCATTCCCCACCAGGGACAGTGGGATCCTACCTGAATGACACCTGCCAGCGGACTGGCATCAATTCATATACAGATACTGATTTATCAACAGGGCTGAAATTTGTTCTCCAAAAAACGCAGCTTTCTTTTGAGTGCTAGTACAATACTAATGCTGCCAACCTTCTGATCAACTCTCATCTAACTAGAAACATATACTGGATGAGCTCTTACAACCTCATTCCACCTCCAGATTTCTGCTTTTCCCTCCCCAAACTCCCAAACTCCTGCTGTCCAACTTGTGACGTCTTCATAAGAACTTAAGTAGCTGAAAATATTATATATATTTACATATAAACACCCCCTACCTCCATATCCACATACACATTTAGTATTTGAAATAATAAAAGTCAACTTAGATCCTCCTAAAAACACTTCATGCAGCCTGTTCCTACCATGAGTGGCTTTTGGCTCACCCACGTGCCTGACAGCCACCCCTTCTCATGGTAACCTCACCACACAAGCTGTAGCCCATCTTCTGAAGATTTCTGTACCTTTTTTATTTTTTATTAACACCCCTTGTAAAGACAGCCAGTAGAGAGCAGATCTGCATCAGTTTTAGAAAGTGGGGCTACTGGCTTTTGTTAAAGAGCAACCACCACCATTCAGCCAGGTACTAGCAGGAAAATACATGTAAGCTTGCAACAATAAAAATACATAACCTCATATGCTTCTGCAAAATTAGTGTAGAGAATACAATGATTTCTTATTCAAGTTGGTTATTTAAACTGTAATAAAGTACAGCAGCTGGTGGCCAACACATATGAACATTTTAATTATTGAATTTCAAAATATAATCTGAGGTACAGTAACAATCATATGTTTTCTAAAAATCAGAATTACATTTTCTCACGAAGCAGTGTTACCAAAATTCTTTTTGAGATTGCTTTTTACATTGAATTTACCACCTTCCAAAATGAGCTTCCCTGGAAATCAGAGCTGTCATGGTTTCTATGTTGTAACTTAACTAAAAAACACTGTGAACTGAAAACAGATTTTGGATTCAAATATATTAGGAAGAAAAATCTTTTTTTTCCTGTTTTTTCAGATCAAGGCAAATTCCAGCTTCACTTTACTGTACTTCTCCTTTTTGATGAAGATATCCTGTAACAAAAGACAAATCACATCATACTCATTGTATCTATTCCTTCTTATATCCAAGGTTAAGTATGCTTTTGTTGTAAAATATTCTTACAGATATCATATGTCTTACACTTTAGCAAGGATTTGTTGTTGAAAAGTTTAGTTTTTTAAAAGCAGCTTATCTGGCAGGACTTAGAACATTTGCAAGACAGAGTTTTGATTTGTTTCCTTTTAATTTTTTTTTTTCAGTAAAAATCATGAATTTGGCAAATTCTTTAATGTCAGTAGTACAAAGCCAGCCCTTGGTTTTTGGTCTGCTCCCATGGGGATTATTTTTGCTTCATTTCCATCTTCATTATTCACATTTTTTTGCATTGTTTCCTGGAAAAGTTCTTCACACCTTGTAGAATCATAAGTAACTAACATAGCCATTGCGAAGTCACAGGACTTCTAATGATGCCCATCTCTGTGGCAGATGTGTATAGATAATTAAACTGAAGCTTGGGAACAGTTTGATTTCTGCAGTGACGGCATGTGCTTCAGGGAAGAATTCAACAGCATCAAACACAAAGCCTTTTAATCTAAAGCAATGTTCAGGGTAAGTCAACATCCCTCCACATCACTTGTCACACTTTCACTTTTAATGGACGAAGGCCCACTAGCTTCCACTGTGCTTCTTGGGAATGTTTTTTGGGCTTTAATATCCTTGTTGCATATGGCTTCCTGAGCAAAGCTGTCTTAAGCACTGAACAGACATTTCTCCTTCCTAGATGCTTGGAAGTCACTGAACAGATGGCTGATGAGCACTCCCAGAGCATTAACTGACTCCATGGGCATCTTATCAACATCCATGTGACAACACTTCAAGCAAAAGTTTTCCTTTCTAGAAAAGTTACTGGATAAATTTACTGTAACAGTAATTTTTTTTT